GTGGCCCTCGCCGGTCTCGGGGGCGGCAGAGGGAGCAAGGGGAAGAGGAGGAAGCAAAGGGACGAGGAGGAGGGAGGGTGATGGGGGGTGAGGCATGGGAGGAGGAGGAGGAGGAGGATGAGGAGGAGGAGGAGGAGGAGGAGGAGGAGGAGGAGGAGGAGGAGGAGGAGAGGCAGAAGGAGGAAGAGGAAGAGGAGAAGGAGGAGAAAGAGGAGAAGGAGGAGGTTCCGAAACCAATTTCGACTCAAGGAGGGCCAGCCCGTTGCATGGGCTGGCTCAAGACCAACCCGCACGCATTTTCGGCCAGATAGCACTACCACTCGGAAAGGCGTCCCGCCATCTGCACCTACACGTTCCGGCCTCTTCTTGACACGATGGAACCATACTCCCCGCACGCTTGTCAGATGCTGCAGGGACCCACTAGGTGGGCTTGGCACAGGCTGCGCGAAGTTGTCGAAAGCTGTGGGTCATCGGTAGCAAGGTGCCCAAGAAGCTTGTTGACCAAGATTGCACGTACTATTGCGTCCGCCACATCACGCAGGTCAGTGCCGATAAGTTCGCCTGCAAGGTCAAGGTCGTCACCACGAACACGATTGTACAACAGTAGAGCTCGCTCCCAGGCCCGTCCACACCTCCAACTATGATACGCCGGCTTTCAGTCCAGGCTTGCATTCGGCTGCCAACAGCCCAGCGCATCCATCAGCTTCGCGATTGGATCACATGCCAGCTACCGAGGCTAGAGCCCCGACCGTGGCGACTGCGACTTCATCGACTTCAGCGACTGCGCAGCCTGCCCCGCAACTGCGGCCACAACGGCCACGGGAAACGTGACTGAACAGTCTGCAGAGCCACTTCGGTTCCTTCAGGGCACGGCGGGCCTCGGCACGGGAAACGTGGGCGGGGAGTTTGCAGTTCCACATCGGCTCCCCCAGGGCACCGTGGGCCACAGCGCGGGAAACGAGAGGGTGAGTTTGTAGAGGCACCGCGGCTCCTCCAGGTCATTGTTCCGGCCAGCCAGAACCATAACTGATACCATGTTCAGAAGATGGCCCAGGGCCAGGCGGCGGCCGCCAGCGGCGGCTGAAAGACGAGGACACTCTGCCAGAGGCCGCCGCATTATGACGATCGAGATCCAAATCGAAGCAGACTCTTGCTGATGCAGGGGAGGGCCGGCACAAAAATATAGACTGAGTTGGCAGTGATATGCGTTTCTGTTAGCATACCAGAGGACACCGCATGGAGATGTTTGTCGCGACCACGATCGCCAGCGGTCGTACAGCGCGCGGTATTCGAAGAGTCCTACGATCAGCTTCAGTGACAAGGAGACAGTACATCTGCATAAGGAACCGTTTTTTGGCCCAGTCTTACTCTGACTACGTTCACCAACCTGCCAGAGAAGCATGTGATGCTTTTTTTGAGCCTGGGCGCTCAGCATTCAAAACATCCTAAATCGTGTCTCGCTCCTGCAGCTCGCCGCTTGGCGACATTGTCAAGGCCATCAAAGAACACGGGATCTCGCGAGAGGACCTCGACGCACCAATAGCCCCCATAGAAACAGATATCGACGGCATCACCAAGCGCGTGACGGCATAGGAAGCATCGCCCCGCCCGCCATCAACAACATTTGCAATGACAGTGGGTTCTACGGCTAACGCCAAACTGTTGCAGTTGGGGGTGGACGAACAAGCGATAAGGAAGCAAAGGGCTATGCAAACACATCCTTAGCGGCCTGGAGTCCACGGCGCCAGCAGCAGCATGGATCAGAGGGACATCTTGGCCGTCATCGGTAACCTATACGACTTTGAGACCAGAGAAACCGCAAACAGTTGTATCCCAAAAGAACTACTACGTCTGGGCGCGCCGATGCCAACCAACTCGCACGGCAAGGGGTATTTCAATGATATACGATTCATGGAGTTTACGAACGCCGAGGATCGAAACCTGGTGGTTGGCCAGCCTCGAAGCGCATGCATCAGCAAACACGGACATCATATTTGGGCTACAAGCGACCGTCCACATTGGTACGGAGTGCGCGCGATTATTGCTTTGGTGTCACATACTTTCCGAAGAATATCCCATCCGCGTCGATGACACGGAACAGCCATGCAGGGTCGCAGTGGGCAGGGGACTGGCCCTCAGCGTTCAGATAAACCAGGGCGTGGTCATCCGTGAGTGCAGTGCGGGAGCGTGGGCCGAATGGGAGGATTTATGCAGCGACGACACGCTAATCGAGCTGACAAGGTCGCGCGACGTTATTGTCCAGCGCGCCTCCAGGAAGTTTTCACAGGCAGCGCAGAAGGACATTCCAAATAATCCGCCCAAGACCCACGGTGGGCACTAGTAACCGCCGACAGTGCCCGAGCCGTATCGACAAACATTATGCATCCTGGATTTTGGGACGTGGAGATCACGGGCGCAGAGTCGATGCCGCTGCAGCGTACGTCCGTGCCGTTCCAAATTCAGACCTTGTCTACCGACCCCAATGTCTGCCTCCAGCTACACGCGTCGGAACTCCCGCGCCCAGCTCCCATGCTCCATTTCCAGCTTCCACATTCCGACTTGCGTCCCGACGTTTTTGAGCCATTTTCGCAATCTTTTTTCGACGGGACTTGCGGTTCTCGGGGGAGCTCCGGACGTGGGCGAAGCTACCACTGCGGTAGGCAGTTCGAGACCGGCCGTGGCTCCGAGTCCAGGGACGAGACCGCTTACGTGCACGTCTTCGCCTTCTATCCGCGCTGACGCAGAACTTCTACATGGAAATCTAAATGCACATTGCCATTTTTTCCCGCTTCTCCGACTCTAGCGTCCGACTTTCCGTTTCCATTTCCGCCGGTCGACCCCGGGCGCCCGCCAGATCAGCAGTCCGACCTCCAGCCTCATGCATCTGATTTTCCACTGCCATATCCCCCCCACCCTTCGTCTTTCAGCGCCCAACAGCTCAGCGCTCCGACCTCCGCCTTCGGCAATTCGACCCTCCGCCCCCACCTCCACTTGTCCGCTCCTGGCGCCCAATATCTCAACATGCCGATCCTGGGCTCCCAGCGTCCGACTTTCCACCCACCTGGCGACCTCCAGCGCCCGCCAGCTCAGCGATGCGACCTCCAGCGTGCAGCGTCCGACTTTCCATTTGCGCCCGTCGACTTCCCGCGCCCAGCAGCGCGGCGCGCCGACCTCCGCGTTCAGACATTCGACTGTCCGCCCCCGCCTCTCCCTGTCGAACTCCTGCGTCGACCAGCTCAACATTCCGATTCCGGACTCCCGGCGCATGTTTTTTGGCCGCCACCTCGACCCGTCGACTTCTTGCGTCCACCAGCTCAGCGATGCGACCTCCAGCCTTCGGCACCCGACTGTCCGCCCCGACCTCCGCCGATCGACCTCCGACGCCCGCCAGCTCGACGCTCCGACCTCCAGCCTTCATCATTCGACTTTCCACCCCCGCCCCCACCTACCGAGTTCCAACGTTCAGCAGCTCCGCGCTCCGACCTCCACCTGTCAGCATTGGACTCTTCGCGTCCACCTCCACCTGTCGACCTCCCGCGGCCACCTGCTCAGCGATGCGACCTCCAGCCTTCGGCATCTGCTTGTCCGCCCCGACCTCTGCCGATCGCCATCCAACGTCCGCCAGCTCAGCACTGCGACCTCCAGCCGTCCGCGTGGGACTTCCCACTCCCGCTCCCACCTATCGACTTCCAGCGCTCAGCAGCTCTGCGCCCCCAGCCCCCCCCCCGGCATCCAGCTGTCCGCGCCCGCCTCCACTTGTCGACCTCGAGCGCCCGCCAGCGCAGCGCTGCGATCCTGGGCGTCTCTCCGCCTCTGGACCATCAGCCTCCGGCCATGGTGCCCTCGACCCCGGATCGCGTCCCGATGCAGGTGCGCGCGCGCGCGCAACCGGCGACTCCAGCTCTGACCGAGCGCGTGCGCATCCCCGGCAGGAGCAGCAGCTCCAACGCAGCGCTGGCGGAGGGCGGGGGCGATGCAGCGGCGCCGACTGCGACCGGCCAGCGTGTTCTCAGCCTCGGCGCCTCCCGCGACAGCGACCGGCCACGAGCGCGCGGAACGATGCTACAGCACCTGCGTGAAGGGCGGATCATGCAGGCGCTCGCGATCCGACAGAGGAAGCTAGCGCACCTCTGGCAAACCGAGTGTACGAAGCAGGGCGATAGCCCCAAAAATCGCCTGGAGCTTCACCGATGACGCGGCGATCGATGTACTGATGTGTGAGCTCACGGGTATCCACTGGGGAGTTCATGTATTCAACGCAGCGTGGCGGACTGCGACGCCGGAGTGTTGGTTCCCAAGCTTGGTCGACGTGCGTTCGCAGCTGCTGGGCATGAACATCCGACAGGGCGCGTTGCTTTCTTGGCGCGTTCACGACGCGCCCGACGCATCGAGAACATGGCGGCTGTGAGCGAGCGGCTTTCCCGCATCAGCGTCGCCCAATCGCCGCGCCAACCCCGGGTCACCGCGGCGCATTTTCCGCGCGGTGGAAATGGGGGCCAGCGCGTCCACATCCCGTGCGTTATGATTTCCGCAATCCACGCCGGTGTCGCGAAGATGAATCGAGCATTCATTTTCGCGGGCGATGCGCAAGTGGGAAGACGGAGCGACAACAGCGATGGCGCCGCCATCCACGACGTAGGGAAACGAGCTATGGGCAATTACGGTCAGAGCGGGTTTGATCAACGTAGTGCCTGGCTGCGATCACGGGCGTGTATGCGCGACCTCATCATCGCAGGCGCTGCTTTCCGCGAGTGCCTTGATGACGTTTTCGTGTGCGTGCGTTCATGCTCGAAGCCCGCGCGAGCCCAGATTGACTGGGTCCTTGTGGATAAGCGAGCTCGGCACTTAGTGTTCGACCCGTCTGCTTCGTCATCGCCCGACCTCGGATCCTCTCCAAGCCGCGCGCCTCCGACTTGCCGTGGGCTGTGCAAAACGCCGACCGCCACGACGGAAGAGACGAATGCGCAATCATGTACGCCAGCATCCACCGCGACGTGGCG